ATTCTATTTTGATTAAATTAGTATAGCTATTAAATGACATTAATTTTTTAATTATAAGCCGTATTAGACATAAGTTATGAACAGTGAACACGTTTAAAAAAATATTTTATTAAAAACATACCTAATATTTATTGTTCATCTATACATATAGGTACCTACATTGKTTTTTTTTAGRATAATAATTCATTCGAGTCCTAACCTTTTGGTTCATAAGACATATTATAAGTACTTGGTTACTCCATTGTATTTCTACAACTTCATATAAATGTATAAAACTATTCTTTTCTTATGATGTATTAATTATGCATTCATAAATTATAAAARTATATATATAGCTGACTACCGTATTTTAAAGTTTTATTGTAACTTTATAGAAAAATATCATACCTCATAATGACACCTATATTATATATATAATAGATTTATTACAGTTCCTACAATAAATGTTCATATTATAATGTGTTTTTTATTTTTATTTTATTTACACTTACATAATGATCATGATTGTATTCTGGTGCATAATAATCTCTTTTCGACACCTTCTTATCACTTGCATCGGTGTTATATCCATGTTTAGTAGTTTCTATGTTTTCTGCTAAACATGTTTGTAAGTATAATCCAAAAACAAATAACAACGTCTGAAATAAATAATCATCAAATTAATATATATTTTTCAATTAGCATTGCTTTTTATCAATGTTGCAAAATAATTGTGATCGATAATTCAATCGGTATCACTATTATGTATTTCGCAACTGATCAAATGTAAAACCAGTTAGAAAATATTTTTTATATTTTGCGTACCTACGTTCCTTAATTTAAAATAATAATTGAATTAATGCATAWCATTTGTATGTCCATGGGAAAAAAAATATTTTGATAATAATAACGAAATTAATAATTCATCTACATAGATATAAGGTCAATGATGGCCAATTATAGATTAATAACAGTTCCGCTGAGTTAGATTCAAAATTCAAATCGTCTATGTGCTGTTATAAAAACCATATCTGATTTAATAACTCTTGCTATTATCAATAACCTTGTTTTTGATAAATTTTAAAATTCCTCGTAAGTATCGAAAATATTCTAAATGTTTTAATTTTGTATTAAGTTAAGAAATCATGATTTTAAATTATAAATTATTTTAATATGACTGTAGATTGTAATGTTCATATGGATGTGTACCTACATTAGAGTGAACTAAGCATTAACTAGTTGAACCTATTTACCTATATAACTTATTAAATATTAGTAATCAATAAGTTATATTTAAAATCTAAATTTTAACATTCGTTTCACGTTTGGTTTAATTTTTAATTCGAATATTATATTCTAAACAAGTTAAGAAATATTTATTTTACAATAACTTAAAAAAAAATATGTTTATGAATTTTTTAAATTTAACAATATCATTTGACTTATTGAGCCACCTAGTTTCTAAAATTCTAGATGATTCTTTTTAAAAAAGRAATAATATTCTAAACGTATAAGAAGAATTTCTGAAAACCGTCGAAAAATTATGAAGAAACATCAGAAACCTACCTAATGGGTTTTATGTGTTTTAACTAAGTTCTCTGCATCCGTTTAAAATCGTTTATAACTTTTAAACTACAATGATTTATAAATAATCTCAAATATGATAACACTAACACGACACTTGCATATGAGTTTTGATCACCAGATCTCTATAATATAGCCTACAGTATCCAATCTGGCATATTATAGTTATCTGTTTGCGATACAATTATAAAAGCTATAATTGACTGATAATATAATAATAATAATAGTAATAATCGGTGACGTCTTTGCATCTTATGATATTTTTTTGAGTTTGTGATCAGATATTGTACCTGACACCTGCATTGTTGATTGTTATTTTACGAAATAATTCGCAATGCCAACACTATATGACACCTACTTAAATCAATCAAATATAATTATTATAATATGATAACATCGTACCGTCATATTGTACACTATTTATTACCATTATTGTCTAACTAAATCGTCTAAATCTTAACCGATTAATGTATTTTTATGTCAAAACTCCAAGTTAAATCTGAAAAATTTAAATAATTATGTTCGGTGTCACTTTTTATTTTTATTATTTTATAAACAGCATTTATTTACTGCTGTTATTTGACTTACATTATTCACACTGTGGTTGTATAAATTCAAACAATGGTTTTGAAAGTGTTATCCATTGTATACTCAATACACATTCATAATTTGATATTTCATACAAAACACTTCTTTCTTAGATTTTTATAATAAATCTCTTTATTTTAAAAATATTTTAAGGTACCTACTCAGTGTCATTTTAATTTTTTTCAAAAAAATACGCTCCACGGAAATAATGATGAAGTTCTGTAGAATCAACCAAAATTTTTTATTATTTTTTTAAACTTATAGAGGTAATATGTTACAGGATATATATTGAACTCTGTTTTTAATATTTAACCTTAAACTAAATTATATAGTTTTTTTTTTTTAAATAAAACAATTTAAAACATTAAATGTGTTCATATGACCTATAGGAAGTCTTCTTTTTTTAGATAAAAAAAAATTGTTATCAAATCTGAAAATATTTTACAAAGCCTTAAGATTTTTCTAGTCAAGTTATTTTTTTGGACATAATTCATTGTATTAATTGCCCTATATTTTAGTATTAGACAGTAGATTAATGGAAAAGCATTATAATTAAGGTAGTAACTAAAATATATAATCGAATTTTCAAATTTTATAGAATGTTGCAGAWAATTTTAAAAACTGGCACCGGGCTCCTGAAGTAAACATTTAAATATACGAGTATTTTATATTTTGTCATTTCAAAGTATTTAAACGTATTTAAGTTAGTAATAATATAATTAAAAACTTATTAAGCAACAGATTTATATTATAATATTTCACAAACACTGTATCGAATTAACATATTATTATCACCAAGTGTGGACCTAAACAATTATTTATAGCAATGTATGTAAGATTGTAAGGTTATTTAATGTGCAATATACGATATAATCGTAAACATGAATATGTTTAGTTACAGTTACCCTTAAAATTGATTTGTTATCAACAAAATAAAACTCCTATTTTCATCTTATTATACAACCATGTCAAAAATGTTTGATTAAATTTTACATTAKTATTTTTCATTTTTTTAAAAAGTTAAGCATCTATATTTTTCACTAGGTATTGTTCTAATAATCGTATAATTCGTGTTACATTGATTCACATAATATGACTTGTAAACAAACAAAAAGCTATATATTTTTTTCTATGATTTTATGTAGCAAGTAATTATTAATTTGATTTGATTTTTAACAAAATAATTATTAATTAAATATAAATAACACAACCTATATTACATGTTTGTATTTAATTGGCACAAAAGAAAAGTAGTTAAGTTATAAAATAAATAATTCTATTTATATTTATTGTAATAATTCAAGAAATATGATATGACAAAACTATACATTACTATGCAGGTAACAGGTATATTTATTTACCTAACTCATTAATTTCTTAATAAATAATAATAACACTTATATTCCATGAAACATTAACAATATATAATCCATGTAAAAATTGCATGTATATTTGTATTATATTTATTTAAGACTCTATAGTTATTATTTTCTCAACATTAAATTTAATTGTACTATGTATCTATCGAAATACAGGGGTTCTTTGTCGATGAAAAATGTACTGTTAAATCACAGAATAATTAAACAATGTTATAATATCGTTTAATAAAATTWAAAATTTAAATAAGCTGATGCCTTTTATAAAAAAAATATATATTTTATTTGATAATTTTCAAAGAAAAAAGTTTTTATAATTTGTAATCTTTACAAACATTGTATAATTTTTATAATTTTTAAATAATTTGTATAACATAATATGTTATACTTATTATTTTTTGTTTTGTTTTTCATTTATAATATAAAATAAAATCTACATAGATAATTTTACAAACCTTAGGGTCTCTCATATTTTCACGTTTCCGGAATGGATGAAAGTATAAAAAATAATTTTAAATCCTTATAACATTTTAAGAGGAAAAAGTTGTTTGGATCGTACTTTCAAACCAATATGAAATTTAATTAAAAACACGTGTAAAAAATAAGTACAATATACTAAATTATTCAAACAAAACGTCCAATCACTTCCACGCGACTATTCATGACGTTATTTCCCGCCGACACTAATATATAGTTCTCCTTCTTAACTCGTTTTCACGTCCTTGCTCCTACCAAATATTGGCACTCGAACAAAAATAAAACGAAATAATAAAAAACGATGACCCGCTATGATGAAGTACTCAATTCTTAAATGGTCCATCTATCGGTTGAATGCTCTTAGAAGTTAGGACAGATCAGGACGATATGTTGAGACAATACAGTGAGCTGATGTGGATTATCAAATTCTTATTGATACGTGTAATATTCCAGCAAAACTTAATATCTTTTCTCCCATAAGGAATACCAGTTCTAAGTCCAAATACGTAAGCCACTATAACGTCTTGAAAATGTATCAAATATTTAAATGTAATTGCTTAGGACTTTTAAAATGAATATGTATTGATTCAAATTTTTCTCTAGATCGTAATCTGCTGCAGWAGCAGAATTGATAATTTGATCGTTATTTATAAACTAATGTAAATATACGGAAGTTTCATTTTTATTTTTTTATGAAATATGGAAAAGTATATTTTATTGATTTATAGCTAGCAAACAGTATACCATAAGTTACACTTATGGTTTTTTTAAGCATATCATAAGTTCAAATACTGACAAAATTCATAAAAATCACTAAAATTTTCTATTTTTTAGTTAAAACTTATAAAATGTTTAATTTTTATAACTATTTAATTTCAATTTGTTTAAAGATTTTCATAAGTAATTCATACAGTTGCCCAAAATTAAACCCCCCAATTAAAAAATATATATATTATTACAGTTTTTTTTTTATAGACATTTAATTTGGATAAATTAGATGTATTTTGAGGACATAAGTAATACTGGCATTTGTTGTCTTACCTAGTCTTACAAGTTACAAGTGCATAACATACCGAATGTATCTTTAGCAGATTACGTATAGCTTAGTTAGTCAAAAAATTAGATTGAAWCGACCTCTTATTAAACTTGATTRTATGAAMATTCTCTGTGTTTGTAGGTGGGTTGTTTTACGATAGATAACGTAATTGATGTAGATTATTATGAGTTACCTTACTTTTCGTAACGTGTTAAATGCATTTTAATTAAGTTTTTATCGAATATCAGTACTTGAAGATTAATAGAATATATTACGTACAAATTAAAATGTTTTCAAATTTAGTAATTTGTTGATATTTTTAATTATGTTCAAATAATATTAATGGTAGACTTTAAACCCAATTTCTCCGATCCTATGCAGTACATACTCCCTGCTTAAGTCAGTGGTTAGTACCCTGCAGATTTCTAATGTCCTTGTACATCCTTCAATGACATAACAATTATGACGTCAAGGCAATATTGCTTTCCGGATCAGCAAATCTGAAGGTCGATTGAATGGCCGAATAAGTCTTACTTATCAAAAAAATAAAATAT